AAGCAGCATGGTGTGTGTGATACAAGCCCAATCTGATGGTCTACTTTAATCAGATCTGGTTTCACTAGGAATGCTTTACCTTATTAGCCAAGCACACAGCATGAAGAGCTTTCTCCAGGTATTCTGACAGTCCCACTCCAAATAAACTGTTGCAAGAAGTCTCAAAACTTTGGCCTGGAGGAATGGGAAATAACATTACAATGCATTCAGGTAATGCAATGAAGCCACACTGAAAATCTGTAATTCAATTTAAACATGTAAATAAACAGATTTTGGACGTTATGACATTAAATGTGATTGTTCGTGAAAGTGTGAATAAGTTAAATTAACATAATTTTTTTAACTCTATTTATTATGCTGATTAAATAATTGTATACCTTTATATAAATTAGAATCATTTACAATGAGAAAAAAATTAATTGGTCAATTAGCTGTTCATTTCACTGTTGAATAATATTTCTTACTTGCATCTCTGATCCTGGAGAGTACTTCACATTCATCTTGCGTATATCATAACTTTGGCTGAAATGCAAAATAAGAATATATGTAAGGAATAGTGTAAATAATTATATTATTAGCATTTATATTGTAGTATTACAAAAGTTTAATTAAAATTTAAAATATATTACAATACAACAGGTGCTTTAAATTGTAATAATATTACACCGGACTACTGTTCTTACTGTATTTTTGATCAAATAAATGTAGCCTTGTTGAGCACAAGAGACTTCTTTCAATAACATTAAAAAAATCTTACCAACCCCAAACTTTTGAACAATATATCTTACAGAGATCCCTATAGCTTGGCTTAGCCAATATGTGCTCTCTTCATGCTTTCCCTGGCTGTAAGTGCCGACCCCAAAGTTGTAACAGATGAGAGCGATAGCCAGTCTAAAGGAAATTTCACAAAAGAGTGTGTTTTGTTTCCTTTTTATAGTTTGAATTTTCTAAATCTCTTTCTCAAATCAGAATAAAACAATGACGTGACTTGACACGGAGACGACAACAGTTTGTCCACATCTTTAGGGAGACGAAGAAGCATTTCTTTACATCGCTGTATGCATAACACTGCCTCTTGATGATGCTCTTGAGAAACTGCCTATTGAGACATAATAATAATAAATAATAAAAACAAAGTAAATATATTACTGTACATTGTAAAAAAGTACTGCAATAATCTGCCAACTCTCTCAAAGATTAAATTTAAATATTAAATATGCACATTTGATCCAGTGGTTTTACAGTATTTAGACATTAATTTTAGGCTTCATAATCACTGGACATGCTAAGCAATCTCTGCTCACAGATTCAGCTTGATAAGACAAAACCCGCAGCAAGTCTTTCTCTATGTCTCTCTTTGGTGTGTTTGTATCTTCTGCTAAATCTCCATGGGAAGTTAAGTCTGCTGTAAAGAGTCTCCAGGCTCTGTGAAGGCAGCATATTCTTAGTTTCTTATTCTCAGAGTCACTACTAATGTGAATAATAATTATGGGTATTTCCAATGTTCTAATATCCAGTGGCTGCATGTGTAACATTTTAAATTATTTATTTATTTATTTTTGCATACATGCAAAGTCTCCCCCACCCCCCTCTTTATAGTGAGATTGCATTCGTACTGTATGTACACTGACAGCAAGGTTCAAAATCATCAGCAGCTTTGGGTTGTTTACAATCAAGCCATGTTCTTCCCGTTTTACTTGCCATCTATACACATAGAAAATACTGACAAAATATATTAGATCGTTTTAACTTAAACGATCTAATATATTTTGTCAGTATTTTCTATGTGACTGTTACAGCAGAGATTGTCTTCTAGTGGCTTTGTTACAGAAACAGGACCCCTCGCGAGCGTCCACCACCAAGAACACGCACGAGGACGTGCGCAGTGTGGATGCAATACTGCTGTATGGCCACAAGGTGGTGTCTCTCACACACGGTTATGTATTTACTCTCATTTACATCTCCCTCACATGCTTCACGTTCAGATTTAAACAGCTTTACAAAATCTTATCATTGCCAAAACTTAAAATTGAATAAATTATAAAATACAATTATTTTACTAACTATTTAGTAACATAATAGATAAAATTTTCCCTGTGCAAAATAGCGAATAATAATAGCCTACAGATAATATTATATCCCCCTGAGAACCATAAAAAAAAGTTTTGTGAATTGTATTGTTTTTTTATATCATTACATTGGTTGGAGCATAAGAAACAAATGGAGAAAAAAACATTTTTAAAAAAAATATTTTATTCATATTTTATTCTGTGTCTTTTGTAGAGGACGCCAGGACTAAGTTAAAAAAAAAAAAATATATATATATATATATATATACGAAAAGGCAAGAATAGGCAAAAACAATGTTTTATTTTTTTCATTCACCAATCACTTTTTAGGTTTCAGGCTATTTGTAGCCAAACTTTGTGCAAAGATAAGTCTCAAATATGTTATAAAATATATAACAGAATGATTTGATATACTATTTTACTTTATGCAATATGTCCATAAATTGGTATTCCCATTCTATACAATATATCTATACATTGCATCTAATTTGCATATTAATGTGTTCTTGGGGCAAACCATAATGAAAAAAGAAGTGTTATAATGAGAGTAATAACTTAGCAAAATTTTCATAAGAATATCTGATATTTCATAGGAATATTGATCGATAATTTCTATCCCTGTCGAATTGTTGTGTCTCCCCAAAATATATGATTAACATGATGCTTGTCCTGGTGATCCTCTACAGAAGTCATGTATGAAAATTATACCCTGTTTCATAACAAAAAGTTCTATTCTGATTTGAAACCCCATCATATTTTTCAGAGATTTTTCTTTACGACAAACAATTCGAAAATTAGTCAGATTTAAACGACAATTAAAAAATATCATCATATTTCCCTAAGAGTGCTAAATTTGATCATTCTGTCAATATCAGTCATTTTTAAAGACCAAGAAGAAGGTGTGTTTATGATCAAACCTCCAAAAAATGTTAGATCCCTAAAAAAAACCTAAATGTGCTCTGTGCAGGACATCCAGAATAAAAAAAGTGTCATGCAGGGTCTCAGAGAAATTGACTAAAACATAATGTCTCTACAGAGGACAAACGTCTATGCTCAGGAGGATATAAAATAAATCAGCTAAAGGACAGATGTATATCTCAAAAATAAGCACTCTAAGTAAACATTTAAGATAAATGGAGAGCTACTCTTTTCAAGCGTGCAGGCTGCAGTATATTCCGAATTCTTAACTCTGTCTTGTTGAAAGACTTGGGCATTAAAGTATAATAGCATTGTTTAAGCATACTATTCATCACCTTCTGGTAGTTAGAACCTCATTCACCCCCAAGAAAGTATGTGTTGATAACGCTGGAGTTTTTTGTTTTAACAGGGGAGGTCATTGTTGAGCTGAAGGAAAGAGCTCAAGCTGCATACACAGAATCGGTTGTGGACTCTCTTATTGTGTTCACTGCACTAGATTCAAAAATAAGATGTCTTAAAAGCCCACTTCTCTCTGTGCTCGGCTTCCAGCAATTGTTTCTGCCTGAGTCTTATCTAGCCACCGTGCTGGCCTGAGGGAAATGTGATCAGTTCAGAGGGCTTGACTCTGCACAGGAGAAAGAAAAAACAAACACGATCCCTATGACATGTGGTCAGAGAGATGCACACAAGATTTCCTAAAGTTTGCTACATAAATAATATAAAAATAATAATAAACAGGCATATTTATAAATGTGTGCCAGATTTAAAAACAGTTCTACACTGGTATGAAAGGTCAGTTACAAGCCGAATATTATTGTATAGAAGATTTGAGAAATACCTAAATCAGATCTCTGCTGCCAAACCAGAAAACATGACTGGAAACTTATATTTATATATACTTATATATATATATATATAATTATTTATTATTGTTATAATTATGATTATTTATTAAAAAATAACAATAATAATAAATAATAATAGAGGTATTGCATTTTTTAAAATTGTTTAATAATCATAATTTTCCTAAAAAGTCATGAACATGGACAAGTCATGAAGTTATTAAAAAAAATAATACACATTTTTATAACACTGCAGAATAAAATATGATTTATATAAGTAAGATCAATATAAGTGACATTCCACTTCATCAAATGTTGGTTGGAATAACTAAATCCTTAACATTAGCAGCTACCTTAGTTTCTTTGAGTCACAGAAGTAAATAAACTGGTAAACTGTTATCAGTGGCCCTTACATTATCACATTAATCACATCATCATCCAATCAATACTACAGGAAGAAAACCTCATGTCTCTTTAACCTTATACCTCATCAGTGACGAACTGTATTAAACTGTACTGTTTAATGTCTGTTTAACAGGTTTAACATCCTGTGCATTTGAAATGATATAAATGGAAGGACATCAATGGACAATGCCTTGCCCTACGTTGCAGGGAGCTTGTCCCCATTTGTAGCATCAAAAAGACAAACCGTCGGTGGTGCATCCACACACACAAGGTGAAAAGAAGCCCCATGATTATTTACTTTGATATAAAATTAGCTGCATCCTGTTGCTGAAGTTAAAAATAAACCCTGTAAATGTTTTTCCAAGGTATTTTGACTGATATGTTATCAGACAATGCCTGTTTACCTTTGCACCTAGATATTTTAGGGACTGCCGGGGGTTTGATAGATTTTAGGTTCAAAACAATGCTGAAATAGCCTACTTTGTGAAGCGTCTTCACATTCATTGAGGCATTTGGGTGGGATATGTGTCTGAGATCAAATAAATCTTTAATTTAATCAGACAGAAAATAGCACACAAAAAAATACTTAATCAGATCATTACAAGACAAAATATCTTAATCGATATCTGTAGGGTCAATATAGTAAGTTAAAGCAGGAAAGTGCGGTGGAGTACCGCTGCAGGGTTACTATGGTAACGTTGCGTCCTTCCGTCCCGCTTCACTCATATACAGCCTGAGAGAGGGAAACCCCGGCAGAAAAGCCAAAGGCAGTGGGCTGGTTTATCAGTCGGTTGGCATTAGTTCTTTTCATTGTTATACTATCGTTAACCCTTCTTTTCTATATAGAGTCTAGTTTTTGAAATTTCATTCGCTCAGTTTTAGGAAGGAAGAGCAAACGTCGCACCTGCCCTCGGGAGTAGTTTGGAGCTGCTCTGTTCGTGTACCGGGGCAGGCGCACGACTATGCGACACATTTACATTCACTGAGAGACAGCAAGAAGTGTTTTCACTCTAGAAAGAACAATCTCTGTCATATCAACGGGAACTGTACAGATTTAACCGTACACCAAGAGAAATCACAGTAGCCTACCTGGACTATTACAGCCACATCCAAATATAAAGTGACAGCTGATTGTACGGAATATCCGGCGGAACGTTATTTTAACGGACGAAATGACTCCCGTTCAAACCGTCTTCACTTTCCAGCTGCTTCTTAATTTCGTCTCAAGTGGTAAGTTCGCGCTTTTTGTCATTTTACTGCGCGCGCGAGTGAAGCGGCACGCGATCTTTCAATGGGCTGCTGTTGTACAGATGCGGTTTGAAGTTCATTTGTTGTCAACTTAATGGGCATTAACTGATCTGCATGTAAATGGATGCAAACAAATGTGGATGTAATTATGACAAAAATAGTGTTGTGCTATAGAATAAAATTACATCACTTATACGATGCCATTGAATTAATGGTTAACCGTTTAATTGTTGTTCTGATGTCAGGCTATTTTCATTTGAGAAAATAGCCTATATTGCAACATGAGAAGTTTCTTCATTAAAATAAATTCGGTAGTCTTTAACTTGAAAGTCTAGACTTTAACTTTTTAAATTTCACTTTTTATTTCGACTTTAATTGCTGAAGAAGAGAATTGTCAAACTCTGAAAACGCATGGAAGAAATTACTATTATTGTGACAAATTAATTGGATGGGAACAAATATGATGTCTTTTGATACAGTGATGACTTTTTACAGCGTTTTCGTACTAGTAAAAGTACAAAACTTTTCTGAAGGCATTGACTTTACTGACGTGATTTTATAGACGTTCATTTTGTAGAAATATTAAAATGTAATAATTTTTCTCTCAGTCTTTAAAACAAGGTAATCTGCTTTGATGTCATTTGCTATGTTCTCAAAACCAAATGAGCTGCCTATACCTATACACAGATTGTTTGGTGCAGCATTTTGGGGATCATATGTGCCAAATGGATTATAAGAACCCATTTTGGTGTCCCAAATTCCGTCTAGGTGTGCAGCTCACTGGGTTTTGAGACCCAGTCATGAGCACTCTGTATTCTGGCACTAAATGAAATACTCATTTGGAAAGCAGGAGGTGATCTATCCCTGCTGGGGCTTAAATCCTTTTACTGACTTTAGCTAATTTTTCCCAATCACTACAGGTTATGATGGAAGAACAGTAGGGCAGTGGGCACTTCTTGCATTCCTCCATCCTCAGGGACTAGTTAGTTATTCAAACGCACTAGTCACTAATTACTAGTTATTCCTATTCCACATTGTGTTCGAAATATCAGATGTGTTTTTGATAACATCAAAAACAGTTTATTGTAAATGCGTAGTATGGGCACATCTCCAGGTCCGGTGCTGTTCTCGAGTTTGACAAGAGAATATGTGTTTATAAGAGAAAGTATATTGTTGACTGCTTGGACTTCTGGCTGCATCTCCTTATAAACAAGATGGATAGTAAAAGATGGATGCCATTGTTCATCGTGACATAGCAGTTGTACACTACAGATACAGGTCTTCCTTCTGCTGTCCAAACAAACAGCAGCTCTTACTCTGATCCAAACAGAGGAAATACTGCTCCCCCCATGACTTTTTGGGTCTTCAAGCTTTGTCTACAAGGTCTCCAAGTAGATTTCCTTCACTGTCCTCGCGCCGAGCGTGGGAAAGACACATGAAGGAAGCGGATGGAGAGGCAGGAGGCACCCTGGAATTGTTCTGGCAGTAGAGGTCACGGAAATGTGACACGCTACCTGAGTAAAGATTCTTTCCCCAGACTTCTTGCTTGCTCCTCTACTCCAAATGTGTGTCAGTCACCCCAACTCAAGACAATGGTAGAGCGGAAGAACATGCCATTATATTTTAAATGTCAGGGGTGTATGGTTAATCCATTAGTCAAATAATAGGCCATGAAATTGATCCGTTTGCCACTTTTCTTCTGTCATCAGATTTTTGGTGGTGCGTAGTGATTATTACATTTAAGACAAGTTTAGTTAGCTGAATTTATCAATGGGGTGCAACTGTGTTATCTGATATGACGTGATTTCTAAAGTATTAGCCTAATAATTCAACTGAACTGTTAAATGAGAAATACGAGGTGAGTATAGACTATAGATCTATAAACTTACACATTTAGAGAAGTGAAACACATTTTGACTTGGCTGTTAGAAGTTACTTACAGGAATGAGAAGGATTAAAGATGAAGTCTGTTTTAAGTAAGAAAAATATCCAATAATGCTGCTGTGTAGAGAGATATATAGACATCTTGAAATGATCCAGATATTGCCCAGGGCCCTGTTTTCACATTTTGCTGGACCATTTAAAGGTTAAAATACTCCAGCAATTTTACACATCCGAGAACCCTCTGCATTGCATTACTTTCCAGAACTCACTGAATACGTGCTAGCCAACTCGTACTTTCTCCTTTGATATCACAACATTGCAGTAATACAACATTTCATTACTGGCCTGACAAATTAGGTCTGTTTCACATTGCATGCATAAGCAGCACGTAAGCAGAGCATAACTGCAGGTTCACTTTGTGCTTTCAGTCTGGAAGCGTTCATGCTGCATAACAGAGTTATGGTTCAATACAGAAAATAAAATGATGTCTGATATCTTGATATCAGAGATCTTGATTAATCTACAAGGAGCGGAACCTAAACTGTAGCTGCGTACAGCTTGCACCATGTACATCAAGCCTGACAGACATTTTTCTCAAACAGTGGAGTAGTTATTTATGTTGCTTAATAAAAGCCTATACTGTATACTGCAAATGGCAAAAATGTTAATAGTGTATTTTAATTAGTATTCTGCTGAGTTCAGTCAATAGGTTCAGTACTGAAACTGTACTTGCACCTTGCTACGCAGAACTTGCTCAAGCAGTGTAAATACAGTAAACGATTAATATGGGTGGAAAAATAATTATTTAAACATGTACTATACAAAGTAGTGCCTGGATTAAACTTGCTTAATGTTTTTTGAATATTCATAGTGAATTCTGTATGACATTCAAACCCATGCTGATGAAAACAAAACGTTCGCGCTGACTGACATTTGCAAAGCGTGTGCATAAAACGCGCCTCTACAAGAGCGTGCAATCTCCCTATAAAGTAGCCTACATTATTGTGAAATATGTCTTGGCGAGATTCACACAAACATAATCTGTTATGTCTTACATGAACGTTTAGTTAATGGTTGGGGGAAAATCTGATGTGTAACATTATATTAGATCCATGCATTACAGTAGGTCACAATATTGATCTGTCTCGATGTTAATCAAACATTAAAAGAAAGACAGAATCATTTGCTACTCTTGATTAAACTACGGTTTATTTGCATCTTTTTATCTTATTTTTAATTACAAAGATAAAATAAAAAACAGCTATATTGTGATTAGGGATGTCAAAGATTAATCGATGATCGATTAATTGTCGATAAGAGATGCAATCGATTAAAGCTATCGATGGTCGATTAAGCAGTTTAATTTTGGGCTGCGTGCAGCTCATGTGCAAAACACGTGCACACATGAGTGACGGTTTATAAATGCATCATCATTCATTCATAATGTACAAATTAAGCTTTTAATGTGATTTAAACTTTAAAAGTACATTAAAATAGAAACAACACAAAGTTCTTCAACATGGAAAGCAATAGAAATGTAGTAACTAAGTCATTTCCCCAGATAATTGTTTCATATCGTGCGCTTTGCAGGGTTGCGGGACACAGGACAGATAGGCTAGACTATTCATTCCTACAACTTGTTAATTCGTTACTACGACTTATTAATTTGTGGCCACTGTCCACGTTTCATTAATTTTGTTCCTTAACCCATGATTTAACTAAAATGAGGGAACAAATTAATAAATCGAACGAATTCTTAATTCATGGCCATGAAATCTTTAATTTCCCTTAGATGTGAAAACAGTGATAAAAAGTGAATGACAATAAAATAAACCTGCGAAATTAGAGGGTTAGACGGTGAGGATTTAGGAAAAGAAACAATGCCTAAATAT